ATATAAGTAGTCATGCGTTCGAAAAGTTCAGATTCTTCGACCCATGGCCCTGCGCAGGTGGTTTTGTGTAAGATTACCTCTTTTGTATAGGATGGCATGTCTCCTCAACAGAGACATTGCCATACGACCACAAAACCTTATGGCATCCTGGTCCAAAAATTATTAAACTGAGGAAACTGTTTTCTTCTCCTTATATATTGTCTTTATGCTCCGCTTCCTCAGTAGTTCACCGAACGCCTTCAAAAGTAAACAGAAAGGCAACATCGGAAACCGGGTCGTGGTCTATTTGTCTGTCCTGTCATAAATAGCTATCTCTCTCGCCTCCAATTCATGAGTATTAAAAATAAATTATCTAGCAATCCTAGGGGATAATTGTTTTGTTGATAAATAGGTTTCGAGACTAACAGTAGATCATATAGATGGGGTGTTTATCCTAATTCGTTTAGGGTGATGAAAAACTGTTGGTTCAATTTTTCAACAATGATATAAATAGGCTTTACATTTCTATTGAATTCCACAGCTTTGCTTCCTAAAAGGTATTCTCCTCCAGAATGAACTGTAGTTTCAACCTCACCTAAATATCATCAGCACCCCCAGAGGGGCTCAAACTTGGAGTGTGGTAGTGCCGTGTTTGGTCTCGACATAATAACTACTAAGCCCCGTATACCGAATAACTTTAAGTCACAAGGTAGACGAGGCCTTTTCCAGATCACTTTCTGTGGTGGGATTTTCAATGAAGCAAGGTTGTATTTGCTATTACAATCGACTGGATTACTTATTTCTGTTTATAGGTAGGTTTCCAGACTACCAGTAGGCCATATAAATGAGAAATATTCACCCTATTTGGTTTAAGGTGATAAAAGACTGTTGGTTGATTTTTCCCAAAATAAGGTGAATAGGCCTCACGCTCCAATTCAACTTCACATAGCCTTGATACCCAAAAGTTATTCTCGTCTAGAGTAGACGACATTTTCGACCTCGAGTCCCTACGGAGGTATTGATGGGACCTACTGGCAGCCTCAAAAGCCTACTAATATACAAAAAATAATATAAGTTTAAATATATAATACACCGAAGTATACAAGCAAATCGACAGTTTCTAAATGATTTTTATTTTATAACTTAACAAAGCCGTAAGAGTTCCTCATGTTTCGGAGATTTTCGTAATTGTGTGTAAATAAATCGTGATATTCATTGAGAAACACAAATATTATTATTGGCGATACTCCTAAGTGGGGAACCGCCCCTATGAATTGTGGATGCCCAAAGATATTTTTAACAGATATAATATAATATCTGACAATTTATTCTTCGTTATAACTTCCATAGATATTACCTATTTGCTAATATTTAGACTCAAATTTTCAAATATCTCACGTGTATTTCTTACCTGTCGAGTCTAGTCTAATTAATAAGTGCAGTGCTTCAGTGGCTAATATGTCTAATATCAACCAACTCATTGATGCGCCCATAGAATATCTTAGTTTTAAATGGCAAATTTGGCATAACAATAATGCAGAATTTAGACAAAATTAAATATAAGGAACAGTTTCATAGAGTATAAAATGAACTTATTAAGGGATTTAGGTAAACCGATGTTTCTTCACATATCGTCAGATGTCATTATTACAAAAACTCTAAAATTATCTCATTTCTTCCTTATATGCAATAGATACTCGTAAAACATACAAAGAAGTTCCGTTTGTTTTTCCTTTATAGCAGATTTTCGAGACTATCATTAAATCAGTTATATAAGATGTATTCACTGTATTTCGTTTACGGTGATGAAATAATGTTAATTAAACTTTCCCATAATTATATGTGTAGAGCAGACGTTTACACTGAATTTCACATAGCCTTGCTTTCCCCAAAGTTTTAGATATGAAGAGTAACTGGGTCTCGATGAATCTCCTGAGATAACATTATTGTTGGGGCTTTCACTTCTTTCTCATGCCAATGAAGCAAAGAATGTCATACGGGAAAACGCCTGGACTTTCTTAAAATTAACATCTGCCCTGTAACCCAAGGGTACTCGTGGCAATGTGGCGGAGTGGTTAAAGTGTCGAGATTACACGCTGCACTGTCATGGTTCGACTCCCGTTTGGAGCGTAGATAAGACCTAGGCAAAGTCAAAACCCTGGATAAGATCAATTTTTGGGAAGGCGAGGCTATGTGCAATTCAATGGAAACGTCAGCTCTACTCATATCACTGTGGGAAAATTCAACTGTAAGTCCTTCCTCACCTTAAACGAAATAGGATGAACACATCTCAAATAAATTCCCTTTGTGTCAATCTATGTACTTATATGCTTAAGTACGGATGCGCGAATGTGTGAATGTGTACATCCTGGTATGAAATCACCAGTGATAACTTTCAAACACATCGGCTTGCTAAATAGAGTACGCCTTTTGCAAACTTAAAATAAGAGAGGTAATGAAAATTAACAGATAACGGAACACGTCGAGCGTAGGGGATTGGACTAGGAAATTGGGTAAAAGATGCTTATGCACGACTGATAGGATTACAGTGAAAGGGGTTTTAGGAAAACCAAAAAGGTGGCCCATCTATTTGGCTTGGTAATAGTTTAACTGTATTTAAATTCGTTCTACATATCTGTTAAGCACATTTACACATGTTTCAGGTTACTCAATAGTATCGATGCCCTCACTATGGTTATTAAACCTGAGTAACCTTGGATTAATGTTATGCTTTCTTATAATTACCCAATACTATGACTAGCAGTTTCCTATCCAAACTTGACCACGTAAATATGCAAACATGCAAACATACACAAGAAGACATAAAAGTACCTAAACTGGCTTTAAAGTGAACTAACCCAATCGTTATATAACTTATTTTATTCACTACTTTGTTTTGTTATTTGATTTCATTTAGCATGCAAGGAAGAGCCAGACTTCGTAATCTACTATAAGCTTGAAGTTTTTATAAGGATAAGATAAAGTTCAGAATATAACTGTTAGATGCATCGAGGAAAAAAGTTTAACGGAAGTAAAGGAGGATATCTTGTGGACTGAAGAATAAAAGGAATCCAAAATCGAAAACTGAAGATATGGAACTACGAACCGATTCATAGTTCACTTTCACACGAAAGAAATGTCAAGTTTTGGTTAATTAAGTAAAAATAAATGTTTGAGGCAGAAGCTAACATATAAAAAAATTATAGTACGTACCTTGCGAGCGCTGATTAATGAAAGAGCGAATTGATACCAGATATGGAACTCTTGAAAAGAAAATTTGAGCGATCGTTCCAAGGTCTATCAATATAAAGAATAAAGGGTTAATAAAATGTTTTAGGTAAAAGAAGATAAGAGTAAATATAATTTGAATTTACTTTTGAAAGAAATCCGAAATAGCCCTTGCGCACAAGCGCCACAGCCAGCAAGTCATAAACCGCAGTCGTGTTGTTGAGCGTTCTCACCCTGGCCTCAGCTAGTTCGGATGACCTATTCAAAATTACTTCTTGGCTGGCCTATTAAATACAAAAATAAATAGGAAAAACCAAAATATAATATGCGCTAGATACATTTATAATTGCCATTGTCAAAACATAAGTTCTTAATATTCTAATTAGTTAGATACTGGCGGGATATTTTAAGTTTTGTCTTTAAAAGGAAAATCAGAAGACAAAAGCTATGATATGACATGCGCGTGCCAGAAGGTTACTCAAAGGAAGTGTTACGATCCAAGAAAACGAACTCGATCACTAACATCACCATGCTTCTTCTGAAGCAAAAATATTTATTTTTCTTGCTCTATTATCTGTAATTATATATGATAAAGAAGCTATAAAGAGGAGACAACTCAATTTTTGTTTAAGAAATTCTTCGTTATGACTCACAAGGTATTCTGAAATGAGTAGGAGAAGAACAGCTTCTTGCAGTGGATCTTCCGGAGTGAAGCTACTGGATGGATAGCATTGCGGTTGTCGGAAGCGAGCGATCTATAACGGTAAATGTAACAAAAAAAGATATCGTTAAAATATTCGAAGTATCAAACAAAAAATTAAAATCTTTAGGCATTGGTGAAGACACAGTCGAAGGATGAAGAAAACTAAATTCCAACAGCGTCAGCCCCATTAAAACAAATAGATTAATTTAGTAAAAAATTGGTCTGCCCTCGTTTTCGCAATTTAGCCATGTTTTCAGGGCGATATAGTTTGAAATACCTTGCCCGAAGTTCTCTGCTATAGTAATTATAATAAATCCCAGCGCTGGACAGCAGACTTGATGAACTTCCAGAATTTTCGCCGGCATCGTCGTTGGCCTTGACATTCTCAGCACCAAGCTGCAGCTTATCAAACAGGAAAGTGAAGCCAATCCCTTGACCAGCCTCCTGCCGAACGGCTGTGCTATCATTCTTATTCCTTTTCTGGCACATCTACCTTGTTCCTACCCTCTTCTTTCACACCCGCCCTATAACTACTTCTGATTTGTTTACATTCGACTCCTATATAGATGTGCCCTTTTTGGCATCATCATGCCTGCTGTTTACCTTGGCTTCCTTTATTCTCAATTTGCTGATCAGAATCTGGAATCCTATCAGAATC